CCTGAACACATAGTAGCTGCCCCAGAGCTGATGGACAGGGGAACACGCCAGGAGAACGCGCCGCGAAACGTCCCAAGGGACGCGCCAGGCGACGTGCCAGGGGACGTGCCATGGGGTCGCACCGCGGGACGTGCCAAGGGGACGCGCTACGGCACGTGCCAATGGATGTGCCACGGGATGTGCCAGGGGACGCGCCACGCGACGTGCCAGGGGGACTCGCCAAGCGACGCCTCACGGAACGTGCCAAGGAACGCGCCAAGTTGCAATGCTGAATGTATCGATCTTGATGTACCGTGCCGAAATATGTGCTGTGCTGCGCCGTGCTGAATTGCGATGTGCTATGCCGCGATTGTGCTCTATAGCCTCGTGGATCGAGTCCTCCTTTGCATCCGAGTCCTGACCGAACTGATCTGGATCTTAAGCTCGAGCTGCCTGAACACATAGTAGCTGCCCCAGAGCTAATTGACAGGGGGACATTCCAGGAGGACGCGACGCGGAACGTCTCAAGGGACGCGCAAAGCGACGTACCAAGGGACGTGCCATGGGGACGCACCGCGGGGCGTGCCAAGGGGACGCGCTACGGAACGTGCTGGGGACAAGCGTTTCGCTCGAGACATCCTATCAAAATCCTCAGAAATCCTGCGCGCGGGACGCGGCACACGCGAAACATCACCGGAATTCCTGCGAGCGGGACGTGAAAACAAGCATTTCGCCTGAGACATCCTTTGAATTCTGGCCCACCACGAGGCCCCCGCTCGAGACATCCCCCAAGTTTGCAAAACCAGCGTTTCGCTCGAGACATCCTCAACAAATTATGAAAACAAGCGTTTCGCTCGAGACATCCTCGGTAACTCTGCGGAGCAAGCGTTTCGCTCGAGACATCCTCAACACACGAAAGAATGTCTCGCACCCTCTGATTTATCGACCGCGATTTCAAAAACAAGCGTTTCGCTAGGGACATCCTCACAAATAATTCCGCCGGCCGACCTCGACCTCGATATTTATCAGGGAATAATTCCGCCGGCCCAACTCAAGTCAGGTCCGGGGGTAAACACTTAAAAGATAGCACGCGACTTAAAAACCTATCCCAGAGCTATTATATGTCTTGGTTTTAAGCTGTTTCGTTTCGTTGTTTAGGTTTTTAGGCCTCCCGTGCTAAAACATGATCGACCCACGAACCCGGAAAGGAATATAGAACTGTAACACATGGCAGCGTTTTCAAAGACACCTGATTGGGTGACGGGCAAATGCAATGCTGATGTATAGATCTCGATGTACCCTGCCAAGGGCTGTGCTGTGCTGCGCCGTGCTGAATTGCGATGTGCCATGGCGCGACTGCGCTCTATAGCGTCGTGGATCGAGTCCTCCTTTGCATCCGAGTTCTGACCGAACTGATCTGGATCTTAAGCTCGAGCTGCCTGAACACATAGTAGCTGCCCCAGAGCTAATTGACAAGGGGAACATGCCAGGAGGACGCGCCGCGAAACGTCCCAAGGGATGCGCCAGGCGACGTGCCAGGGGACGCGCCATGGGGTCGCACCGTAGGACGTGCCAAAGGGACGCGCTACGGAACGTGCCAATGGATGTGCCACGGAATGTGCCAGGGGACGCGCCACGCGACGTGCCAGGGGGACTCGCCAAGGGACGCCCCACGGAACGTGCCAAGGAACGTGCCAAGTTGCAATGCTGAGTGTATCGATCTTGATGTACCCTGCCGAGGGCTGTGCTGTGCTGCGCCGTGCTGAATTGCGATGTGCCATGGCGCGACTGTGCTCTATAGCGTCGTGGATCGAGTCCTCCTTTGCATCCGAGTCCTGACCGAACTGATCTGGATCTTAAGCTCGAGCTGCCTGAACACATAGTAGCTGCCCCAGAGCTAATTGACAAGGGGAACATGCCAGGAGGACGCGCCGCGAAACGTCCCAAGGGATGCGCCAGGCGACGTGCCAGGGGACGTGCCATGGGGTCGCAACGCGGGACGTGCCAAGGGGACGCGCTACTGAACGTGCTGGGGACAAGCGTTTCGCTCGAGACATCCTATCACAATCATCCGAATTCCTACGCGCGGGACGCGGCACGCGCGAGACATCCTCGGAATTCCTGCGAGCGGGACACGAAAACAAGCATTGCGCCTGAGATATCCTCTGAATTCTGGCCCCCCACGAGGCCCCCGCTCGAGACATCCCCCAATTTTGCAAAACCAGCGTTTCGCTCGAGACATCCTCAACAAATTATGAAAAACAAGCGTTTCGCTTGAGAAATCCTGTCAAAACCCAAAGAAATCAAAATTCCTGCGTGCGGGACGCGGCACGCGCGAGACATCCTCGGAATTCCTGCGCGAGGAGCGCTTTTCCGTGTCGCGGTCGGCTCTGCAAAACCAGCGTTTCGCTCGAGACATCCTCAACAAATTCTGAAACCAAGCGTTTCGCTCGAGACATCCCCAACTCTGCAAAACCAGCGTTTCGCTCGAGACATCCTCAACAAATTCTGAAAACGCGCGTTTCGCTCGAGACATCCTCAAAAACATGATCGACCCACGAACCCGGAAAGGAATCTAGAAATGTAAGACATGGCAACGTTTCAAAGACACTTGATTGGGCGACGGGCAAATGCAATGCTCAGTGTATCGACCTTGATGTACCGTGCCGAGGGCTGTGCTGTGCTGTGCCGTGCTGAATTGCGATGTGCCATGCCACGAGTGTGCTCTATAGCGTCGTGGATCGAGTCCTCCTTTGCATCCGAGTCCTGACCGAACTGATCTGGATCTTAACCTCGAGCTGCCTAAGCACATAACTAGTAGCTGCCCCAGAGCTGATTGACAAGGGAACATGCCAGGAGGACGCGCCGCAGAACGTCCCAAGGGACGCGCCAGGCGACATGCCAGGGGACGTGCCATGGGGTCGCACCGCGGGACGTGCCAAGGGGACGCGCTACGGAATGTGCCAATGGACGTGCCACGGGACGTGCCAAGAGACGCACCAAGCGAGGTGTCAGGGGACGTGCCACGGGGACGCACCGCGGGACGTGCCAAGGGGACGCGCTACGGAACGTGCCAATGGACGTGCCACGGGACGTGCCAGGGGACGCGCCGCGCGACGTGCCAGGGGGACTCGCCACAGGACGCGCCACGGAACGTGCCAAAGAACGTGCCAATGCTGAGTGAGTGTACCGATCTTGATGTACCGTGCCGCGGGCTGTGCTGTGCTGCGCCGTGCTGAACTGCGATGTGCCACGTGACGATTGTGCTCTATAGCGTTGTGGATCGAGTCCTCCTTTGCATCCGAGTCCTAACCGAACTGATCTGGATCTTAAGCTCGAGCTGCCTGAGCACATAGTAGCTGCCCCAGAGCTAATTCACGGGGGGCATGCTAGGAAGACGCGCCGCCGAACGTCCCAAGGGACGCGCCAGGCGACGTGCCAGGGGACGTGCCATGGGGACGCACCGCGGGACGTGCCAAGGGGACGCGCTACGGAACGTGCCAATGCATTATGAACGTGCCACGGGACGTGCCAGGGGACGCGCCGCGCGACGTGCCAGGGGGACTCGCCACAGGACGCGCCACGGAACGTGCCAAAGAACGTGCCAAGTTGCAATGCTGAGTGAGTGTACCGATCTTGATGTACCGTGCCGAGGGCTGTGCTGTGCTGCGCCGTGCTGAACTGCGATGTGCCATGCCGCGATTGTGCTCTACAGCGTTGTGGATCAAGTCCTCCGTTGCATCCGAGTCCTGACCGAACTGATCTGGATCTTAAGCTCGAGCTGCCTGAGCACATAGTCCACGAAGTAGCTGCCGCAGAGCTAATTGAGAAAGAATTGTGCCAGGAAGACGCGCCGCGGAACGTTCCAACGGACGCGCCAGGCGACGTGCCAGGGGACGTGCCACGGGGACGCACCGCGAGACGTGCCAAGGGGACGCGCTACAGAACGTGCTGGTGACAAGCGTCGTGTTGGTGGCCTGGACACGTAAAAACACGGTGCCAGCTCGGGACAACCATGAGAGATACCCCCTGGGTGGCCTGGACACGTAAAACACGTGGTTCCAGCTCGGGACAATCATGTTAGAGATCTCCCTGGGTGGCCTGAGCATGAAAAAACACGTGGTTCCAGCTCGGGACAGCCATGTTAGATACCCCTCTGCGTGACTTGGATACGCTGAATTCGCGCTCCCGCTCGAGACATCCTCACAACGTCTTCCCTGGAGAGGCCCCCAAAGCGCACCCCCCTGTTCAGAGCAAGAAGCCATCACTTTTCCTTATAATTCGGCGTTGGGCCCGACGCCATGTTAGATACCCCAACTCTGCAAAACCAGCGTTTCGCTCGAGACATCCTCAACAAATTTTGAAAAGCAAGCGTTTCGCTCGAGACATCCCCCAACTCTGCAAAACCAGCGTTTCGCTCGAGACATCGAGACATCATTTCAAAATCCCAAGAAATCTAAATTCCTGCGCGCGGGACGCGGCACGCGCGAGACATCCTCAGAATTCCTGCGCGAGGAGCGCTTTTCCGTGTCGCGGTCGGCTCTGCAAAACCAGCGTTTCGCTCGGGACATCCTCAACAAATTCTGAAACCAAGCGTTTCGCTCGAGACATCCCCAACTCTGCAAAACCAGCATTTCGCTCGAGACATCCTCAACACATTCTGAAAAACAAGCGTTTCGCTCGGGACATCCTCAAAAATAATTCCGCCGGCCCTACTCCCGCATGTAATTTATCGCAGAATAATTTCGCCGGCCCAAGTCGCAGGGGGGCCGGGGGGTTAACCTACTAAAAGAGAACCCTGGGCCCGCGCCCTTTCCGGGAATAATTTCGCCGGCCCTACTCCGTGCGTGCCCGCTCGCAAAATAATTTCGCCGGCCCAAGTCGCAAGGGGGCCGGGGGGTTAACCTACTAAAAGAGAACCCTGGGCCCGCGCCCTTTCTGGGAAAATAGCTCTCTGGAAGGTCAGGGTTGCCGCCCCCAACTTTCGCGCGTGGCCGACAACGATCTACCCCTCCGCTCGCCTGGTTGCAGCGCTGCCCCGGAGATGGTGCGTCTGCCCCGCCGAGGCCGCACCGAGTGCCCAGGAGCAGCGCCAGGCGGGCCCAGCGCATGGCCCTGCAGGACGAAGCCAAGACGATAATCACACCGGGTGCGGCGAGCCGATCGAGTTTCGGAGAGCCAGCGGCTCTGGAGGACGTCTCGGCTTAGCTGCCCCGATACGCAACACGCAACACGTATCGTATTGATGCGGAGCTTAACACGTAGGCTGAAGACGTGGGTCCGGCGCGATATATTCTCCAAAACGTGGTCCAATACGTGGAGCCAACACGCAACGTATTGACACGGACGTGTTGCGTTTCAAAACGGGCGTATCGAGGCAACTAAGCGAGTGAGGTGAGCCGATCGAGTTTCTGAGATCCGGCGGCTCTGGAGGACGTCTCGGGCGCCGCGGCCTTCTCAGGATCTTCCCGAAAGCTCGAGGGCGTCCCGGAAGGCTCTGGACAGAAGAAACACAAGCGGCATGAACATAACTAACCTGTTGGCGCTTCGCACGGATTTCTTGGATCTGCGCCGGACCCCCCTCCCTGGCGCGCGGAGCGCGCCAGGGGCGGCGCTGGAGGCGCCGCCGGGGGGGGGGCCCAGCGCAGATCCAAGAAATCTGCGCGGAGCGCCAACAAAGTTCACGTTCATGGCGGTATTCTTCTTCGGGGAAGCCCCTGAGAGCAGCCTGGAACGTTCTGGAGCGGATTGATCCTCGTCCGGGCCCCGTCCGACTCTGGCGCGGAGCCCTGGGCGCGGGCGCCAGCGGGAGAGGCCTGGGGCCGGAAGCGGCTCGAGCCGAGCTCGCGGGCGACGGGTGCATGAGAACTGGGGCTGGACGGTCGCTCCTCGATCCCCGATCGATCCTCGACCCAGCAGCGAACAACGACGTCTTTCGGTGGCGAGCGAGGGGGGGAACTGAGAAGGAGAAGGCCTTCTCAGAAGGCGGCGGGACTTCTCAGAAGCCCTAGCGCCTTCTGAAAAGTGTTCCGTGTCTTCGGGGGAGGCTTAGAACTTCTCAGAAGGCCGGGTGACTTCCGAGCGTTCTGAGAAGGCCAGCCCCTTCTCACTTTTCCCCCCTCGCTCGCCGCCGATTCTTGTGATCTGGCAGTGGGTTGACGACAGGCCCCGACTCCCTGCACTGCAATCGCACAGCGCGCCAAGCCCTGGACGTTGCACCTTGAAGACAAACAGCCAAGACGCTGAGACAAGGGCCGCTTTGGGTTCGGAAAGGGCTCGCTGCTCCTTGGGCCATTCCGTGGGCGTTTCTATGGCCCTCCTCGTGCACTCGGGCTCTTCTGGTGCAGAACAGTGCCTTCGATCCTTGTCTGGCGTCCCGTGTCCCAGCTGCTCGACTGTAAGACTTGGGTTCGGGAGACTCATGTTGGCCTCGGGGCCGTCAGGAAAATGACGAGAGATCCAATCTGAAAGTTGACGGCTCCCGCTGCAAACATCCCACGAACACTGGACCGTCCAAGTCCAGGACGGGCTCGTCAAAAAGCGTCGGTAAATCCGTATTCCAGCGATCTCGAGACTCACGTTTCCCCGGACATCCGTGTGCGAGCGGGCATAAGTAACCCCACACCCCCGATCTCCAGCGATGTGGCCCTCGAACATGGATCAAAGGGCGAACAATGAGCCGCGGGGCAGAGGTCGGGACCCCTGGGGCAGCAGGTTGGACCATATGCAATTGTGAGTCACGCGTTGTGGGTGCTGCTTTCGTTGGAGCTCCTATGGGAAACGAAACGCGTGAGGGACGTGCCGAAATAGGTGACGGAGACGCATGCGGGCGGTGCCACTGGGGCCGTCGGTGGAGCTCCCTACGGGGCCACGAAACGCTGTACTGGTTGGTGGCTGACGCATGCGGGCGGTCCCAGCGGGACCATCGGTGGAGCTCCCTATGGGGCCACGAAACGCTGTACTCGGTGGTGGCTGACGCATGCGGGCGGTGCCACTGGGACCTTCCTATGGGGCCACGAAGCGCTGTACTGGTTGGTGGCTGACGCATGTGGGCGGTGCCACTGGGGCCCTTGGTGGAGCGCCCTACGGGGCCACGAAACCCTGTACTCGGTGGTGGCTGAATCACGCGGGCGGTGGGACCTGCGGTGGAGCTCCCTGTGGGACCACGAAACGCTGTAACGGGTGGTGGCTGACGCATGCGGGCGGTGCCATTGGGGCCTTCGGTGGAGCTCCCTATGGGGCCACGAAGCGCTGTACTGAGTGGTGGACGACGCATGCGGGCAGTGCCAGTGGGGCCGTCGGTGGAACTCTCTGCGGGACCACGAAACGCTGTACTGGGTGGTGGCTGACGCATGCGGGCGGTCCCAGTGGGACCATCGGTGGAGCTCCCTGTGGGGCCACGAAACACTGTACCAGGTGGTGGCTGACGCATGCGGGCGATCCCACTGGGATCTCCCTATGGGGCCACGAAACGCTGTGTTGGTTGGTGGCTGACGCATGCTTGCGGTACCACTGGGGCCCTCGGTGGGGCGCCCTACGGGGCCACGAATCGCTGTGCTGGGTGGTGGCTGAATCATGCGGGCGGTGGAACCTGCGGTGGAGCTCACTATGGGACCACGAAACACTGTAACGGGTGGTGGATTACGTCAGTGGGGCTCCCTGTGGGGCCACGAGGCGCTGTACTGGGTGGTGGCTGACGCATGCGGGCGGTCCCACTGGGACCTTCGGTGGAGCTCCCTATGGGACCACGAAACGCTGCACCAGGTGGTGGCTGACGCATGCGGGCGGTGCCATTGGGGCCTTGGGTGAAGCTCCCTATGGGGCCACGAAGCGCTGTACTGAGTGGTGGACGACGCATGCGGGCGGTGCCACTGGGGCCCTACGGGGCCACGAAACGCTGTGATGGGTGGTGGCTGACGTATGCGGGCGGTCCCATTGGGACCATCGGTGGAGCACCCTATGGGGCCACGAAACGCTGCACTGGATGGTGGCTGACGCACGCGGGCGGTCCCATTGGGACCATCGGTGGAGCTCCTTATGGGGCCACGAAACGCTGTACTGGGTGGTGGCTGACGCATGCGGGCGGTCCCACTGGGACCTCCCCATGGGGCCACGAAGCGCTGTACTGGTTGGTGGCTGATGCACGCTGGCGGTACCACTGGGGCCGTCGGTAAAGCTCCCTACGGGGCCACGAAACCCTGTGCTGGGTGGTGGCTGAAGCATGCGGGCGGTCCCACTGGGACCTGCGGTGGAGCTCCGGCTGGGACCACGAAACGCTGTACTGGGTGGTGGCTGACGCATGCGGGCGGTGCCACTGGGCCCGTTGGTGGAGCTCCCCATGGGACCACGAAACGCTGTACCAGGTGGTGGCTGACGCATGCGGGCGGTGCCATTGGGGCCTTCGGTGGAGCTCCCTATGGGGCAACGAAACGGTGTACTGGTACTGGTTGGTGGCTGACGCATGCGGGCAGTGCCACTGGGGACGTCAGTGGGGCTCCCCGTGGGGCCACGAAACGCTGTACTGGGTGGTGGCTGACGCATACGCGGCGGTCCCACTGGGACCTTCGGTGGAGCCCTGGGTGGTGGATTACGCATGCGGGCGGTGCCAGCGGTGCCTTCGGTGGAGCTCCCTGTGGGGCCACGAAACGCTGTACTGGGTGCTGGCTGACGCATGCGGGCGGTGCCAGTGGGGGCTTCGGTGGAACTCCCTATGGGGCCACGAAGCGTGTGAGGGGTGCGCTGAAATGGTGGACATGCGAAGAGCAGAGGCAGGGATGGGATGAGTGAGGGAGGAGGGGGAGGAGAGAAGTGAGTGACGCGGGGCGCTCTCTTCAGAACGAGGACCCAACACCACAGGATGGTTGGGAACAAATCTTGGATGCACGATCCCGCGGATGCGTCTCGCGCGGGGCAATCCGCGCAGGGAACCCCTGCATCAGTCGGCTACACGTAAGCGTGACCCTTGGCAAGATTGACCTTTGGTGCGCGACTCAAGAGAGGGACGCGGGGTGGCCAAACCACGGCGCGCAAGCCGCTGCTACCGCTTCGCCTTCAGCGATCGGGAGGCCCCATTGGGCCCGCACCAAAGGTCACTCCGGCGAAAGGTCACTCGTATGTGTAGTTGCATGTGGGGTCGCGGGCCGGGGAACCCGGCCGCGAGGCCGAGGAGAGCGCCCCTGTCTAAAGCGTAGGCGGGCGGGGTGGACGCGCGGCTGCGCCCTGCCCTCGAAGGATAGGGCGGCGCCTGTGGGCCGAATGGCTCGGCGCAGCCAGAGCAACTCGCCAGAGAGCGCCTGGGCCAAAGCGGCTTGAGACGAAGTTCCTTCCAGCCAGCAGATTGGCGGCCCCGAGGAGCCCAAGCAGGCCCCAGAAGGCCCCAAGACGACCCAAGAGGGGGGTTCCCAAGAAGACCCCCACGCGGCCCCAAGAGGCCTTCAAGATGCCCCCAAGATGCCCCCAAAAAGAAACCTCTGGAACTAGGCCAAAACGGGTGGGGCCGAACTTCCGTATAGCAAACAAGCGGGCGAGCGAGCGGGAGAGTCTCCGAGTTTTGCCCAGCAGGGCTGGCGCATCTGGGCCTAAGGCTCCGCGCAGCCGGCCATCGGCAGGAAAGGAGATGTCGTCTCCTATCAAGGTTTACGTTTTCTGATCTCAAAGCCATGTCTTGTATGCGCCTCAAGATTGGCTTGGTCTTAGCAGGTGTCGCGCGGGGTCGTTTTTTTTCTCGGCGCCCGCTCAGCTCCCTGGAGGTCCATGTCACCTTATCTGTAAGACTTGGCCGCTTGCTTCTGACATCTAAGAAGCATGCTAGCATGTCTCGACTACCAGCGAGCGTGCACAAAATAAGAAAAAAAGGGTTCTTACATTTAACCGACTGCAGCATTACAGATTGCATGTGCCCGCGCATTGTATGTGAGATAGCATGGGAGTCATATCTGCTGGATGCACTTTGTACGCCACCTGCTTTTTGCATAATCGGAGTGATGGGCCGAGAGGTCCTGCATAATCCGTGGGTGCGTGGCTGAAGTTGGGCTCCCGCTGTGCGGATCGCCGTTGTCGTTTATCTTGGTTGTAGAAAACGTCATCTCAAAAGTGACCCAGAAGTGCAGATTGCGAGATGACATTTCCGAGCTTGAAAGGATGAGAGAGGGGAGAATATAATGTCGATGCCAATGAATCTGACATCGCGTCATCCCCCCTCCCATCCTTTTCAAGCTCGAAGATGTCATTTCAGAATATGCCATTGTGGTTCGCCATTGTGGTTCACTTGTGAGGTGACGCTTTCTTTTTCTACAGCAGAAAAAACAGCGACAACGGCGATCCGCACAGCGGGAGCCCAACTTCAGCCACGCACCCACGGATTATGCAGGACCTCTCGGCCCATCACTTTGATTCCATGCAAAGCAGGTGGCGTACAAAATGCATCCAGCAGATATTACTCCCGTGTTATCTCACACACATTGCGCGTGCACGTGCAATGTGTAATGCTGCAATCGGTCTGATGTAAGAACCCCTGTTTCTTATTTTATGAACGCTCGCGGGTAATCGAGACATGCTAGCATGCTTCTTAGATGTCAGAAGCAAGCGGCCAAGTCTTACAGCTAAGGTGACATGGACCTCCAGGGAGCTGAGCGGGCGCCGAGAAAAAAAAACGACCCCGCGCGACACCTGCTAAGACCAAGCCAATCTTGAGGCGCATACAAGACATGGCTTTGAGATCAAAATAAAGCCTCGAGGGGGACGACATCTCCCTAGGAGCGCGCGGGGAAAACCTGGGCAAACGCTGACTGAGCCGAACTTCCGGAAACCCAACCCAGACCCCCGAAGTCGCATTTTTTCCACAAC